AGCTTTAAAAACATCATGACTCTACTTCCAGTTGTTTTTTTGCCTTTTTGTATTACTCTGACACTAGGACATTAAAACCTACATTTCATTTTTTGGTCACTCTTTTATGTGAAGCACTGCTTAAAAATGAACGTGACTACATCATATCAGAGTTGTCGTAATTACTACTTTCCAATTTATGTCAATGTAAATGCAGTTTTTTTGATGCTGTAATGAATCTTTGACATCATGGCTTCAACATATAAGGCTGCTGCCAGACTACAAATGTGCAGGGTCAGAGACTGAATTCAGTCCAAATACTAACATGTAGTAGGACACACAGTGGGGGTTTCTTCACACTCCCTCGTTGTCAAACAGTGCGTGTTGGGAAGTTTGCTAATGTGCTAATGTCAGGGGCGTTTCATTTCAGCTAAAGTTGGTCATTCAAGGTAACTAAACGCAAACTTGTATATTAACCATGCACGCTTTGTAACTCTCACCTGATCAGCAGCCTACATTTGTCCGGTGATGTAAAACATCTAATGTTCAGAGTTTTTTAGGAAGTCAGAGTAGATGATTCTAACTCTGCAAATCCTCATTTACAACAATGATGTTGCATTTAATTTGCACCAATCTTTACCAGATCTTTTACTTTTGCTTGTGGATACATTATATTTTCCTACCTTGTATTTTTGGCTATTTTCATCAGTTTTCTAAACAAACACTGATCTGTGCTTTATAATTGTGCAAGGTGTTTTGGTCTACTCTGCATTTTGAATGCGGAAATGTAGAAATCCTATTCTGGTAGCCTGGCGTCAGGACAGGGCTGTAATGCCATCTGAAATTAGGCTGCATGTGGTTTGTGTTGTCTGCAAGCTGTCTCACAGTCTTTTTATATCCCTAGCTTAGCTCCAGGCTGTGTTTAATACAGTGAGTTAAAATATGTCTGGTAATCCAAGTAGTACAATGGTGGTCAAAATACACCAGTATTGATATCTGATGGTTAACCCAAAGATTTTTTTTTTCCCGTTGGTTCTTCTGTGTGTAAAAATTGCTTTCACAAAATACATATGATTGCATGTGGATTATGATGATATATATGCTGTACATACACACCATATTCTGCCATTAGAGCTCACTACAATAGCCTATGTAATGAAAAAACGAGTTCAAAGCCTGCCCTCTGTCACCTCCACACACCTGGACAGTCACTGTGTAAAGTGGACTTGATAGTCCGGCTGTCTGCTTTAGGAAGTTGGAAACATGCAAACAACAGTCCAAAGCTGGCACTGCCCAACAGTCTGACAGCTCGTTCTGACCCTTTGCAAGCTGATGTTCTTATCTGAGAAAACGCCTTAAACCCTTACCCAACAACAGCTTCACATCACCTCACCTTTCTGAGTGAGTTCAGTTGCATTTTACTTCTCTGCCTTGTAACAGTGACATTGGTATCAGCAAATCATGCAGTCAGTTCTGACATCCTTCCTTCTCTCTCTCTGTCTGTCTCGCTCTCTCTCTCTGTGCACTATTTTCTGCTGTCTGCTGTATGAAATCAGCTGGCCGACTCTCTGATACACTGGAGAATAAAAAATCACCAGCACAGATTCCACCTCCCCCCCCCAAATGAATTCCCTTTGCCTTTTGAACGGCCTATTATCGCACCACTCGCAATACAATATGTCCTTATTGAAGCTTTCAGATGCAAATGAGAGCACTGCCACCTTCTCTGTGTCCTGCTGACAGCTGTGAGGCCTGCTACCAAGCCTTCCATAATTGCTACTAATTGTTATTCCCCAAGCAGGACTCAGCTGAGCACTTCAGTTCACCCAGAGCCCTGTTATTTGGACTCAGGGGGGTTTGATGGGGTATTATGTTGTAGGTTTATGTCTTTAGCCTGCTACCTCTTGGTTTTTGTTTTAATGTTTATTTCGTTCTTTTTAAATTTTTTTATTATATATTTTTTTTTAGTTAATAAAAAAGAAATTAAGAGGTCTTAAAGTAACTGAGGGGGTTTACTCGAGTCTCCTACCAAACAGGGCATGGGCAATTGTTCTGTATTAGTTAATTATGTTTAAGTGCAATTCTCACCGCCAATGAACAAAGCAGCATAACATTTATATTGAACAGTTACAGAATGGGCAGAACTGCTGATGGCTGCTAGATCGCTCAAAAGAGAATCGACTTCTCTGCTCACTGCTCAGTCAGCTTTGTGGCCTCAATCACTGGTGGCCATTTCAAGTTATTAATCCATATATATATATAATCCATTAAAAATATCAAAAGGGTCATAGTGGGTTTCGATGTCTGCGAGTATTGACTGACAGCTTTCATTAACATGTGGCTTTTCTACCGCTCTGATTCCAGACTTTTGCCGCTTCCACTTTTTCCTTCACAATTAGCTGGATGAAGTTGCCCCTGGCCATGTGCTGTTTTTTATGGGTTTTTTTGCTACAGCTGTGCCTGTGAAGTGCTGACATAACTGCAGTTTGTGTTACTGTGTTGCAGTAACTCTGTTTGCCAATCTGTTGGCTGTATACATGCAGGCTGACTGTCATATCAACATGTCTTACTAGGACATTTGAATACAGCTGAGCTACCATTAACACTAGCATTACCATGTGTGCTTTTCCTACAATGACAAGTCAAAATAAGAAAAAGAAAAAGAAAGGTACCCAAGTAGCTCACCTGGTTGAGCAGGTGACCCGTGAATTAGGGCTGGAAGTCCCCGCCACAGTGGCTGTGGTTTGATTGTGACCCATTGCAAGATGTGCTGCATGTCATTCCCACGCTCTTCCTCCCCTTGTTTCTTGTCTGTCCTCCACTGCTCCATAAGAAAGGCTGAAAAACTTTTTATATCCCTAGCTTAGCTCCAGGCTGTGTTTAATGCAGTGACTTACAATATGTCTGGTAATCCAGGTAGTACAATGGTGGTCAAAATACACCAGTATGGATATGTGATGGTTAACCCAAAGAATTTTTTGAGCAGGTGACCCATGAATTAGAGCTTGAAGAAAAAAAAGACACTGACACTCTGCCTTATCAGTTCTATTTGGGAGGTAGGTGACATCTCCTGTTATCTCCTAGAAGGCATTTAATCACCTTTTGGCTGCAAACATTCATCTAGTTTCCCACCTGGTACAAGGGGCAGATAGTTCTTGTGAATAAAAATCTTTGTCGGTTGTTTAGAGTGACCCAAATGGTTCCATACCCAAATGTATGGATGTGAGAGAGAGTTCATATATAGTGGTTGTTGAGTGGTTGGACTGTGATTAATCAAACAATAACCTGTTCCTTTGCTTGGAAGTACAAACTCTTTACACAGTCACATCTCTCCACCTTCACATGGCACCCTGCTGCGTATCAAAGGTTCAGTCCTTGCAGAGTTAACTGGGAGCAGTGCTTCAGTGCATATTTCAATCGCAGACTTTCACTCTTTCTCCAGGAGTACAGTTAATTTTTGTTCATGACTGTAGGTGATCAGAGCGAAAGGAGACAGAAGAGAGGTTTTGCCAACAGAGTAATCAGACTGTCTGTCCCACTCTTGACCTCCTGCTGGCTGTGAGAAGCAGCTCTGTTGATTGCTGTCTAAAACAGGACATGGAACAAAAGATGTAGCATTTTTGCTACATTTAAGTTTTTCAGTATGGATCTAATTGACCATGTTGTTTAACAGGGTATTAGCACACATAGGGCCAAAGAGATCCGCAACGTAAAACCGTTTTTAGTGAAATCAGATTAAATGTGGCTGCCCCATGTCAGAATAACAGCTAAAAGAAGCTTCAGTACTTCACTTTAAAAACAGTTTTGAATTCAGTCTCTCATTTGTTCTCTCAGGTTCGCTGATGTTTTAAATTTGTGTGTCCTATGTCTTCAGATACCCTTTGTCTGTTTGTCACCAACCACAATACAACCCCTTTGGGACTGTGGGACTTGGTGGTGTGTGTAGGTGGGGGATAATGCAGTTGAATCAGATGCTGTTTGTTTGCTGCATTGGTGTTTTTTGTTCATATCGCTTCCTGTGGGCATTAAACAGAGACAGGCAGACAGAGAGCAGAGACAGAGTTTATCTGTGTCAGAATGTTGACTAGCTGTCTGTCTCTCTCTGTGCCTGTCAAACCTCTGTTTATCTGGACTGACAGCTCTGACAATGCAGCCCCCCTTCTCTCGCTCTCTCGCTCTCTTGCTCACTCACTCTCTCACTTTCTCAATCACTCACTCACTCACTCACTCACTCACTCACTCACTCACTCACTCATGCATACACTGATTGAAAAATTGGTCTTTCCTTCCTTCTGCTTCTAAGTATGTTATTCACTAAATAGCCCTCAAATTAAATTTTTATTAATAAAATGTAAATACTTGAGACACTTATATCTCTGAGCCATGTCTACACGAAACATTCTTCATTGAAATACTAGATCATTATGCTGCTCCAGGTACTAGCCTCTGTTTGGTGAAAATGGATATAATGGTTGAAAAGCTCACCAGCATGGTTGAAATAGAAATGGAGAACAGATCAGTCTTTTTTTACCTTCATGGTACGTAGAGTTCAACACTGGACGTTTTCATCTATCACAGGCAACATCAGCGAGTGATCTTACCAAGATACCCAAACAGTCTGGTGTGGCCTTTGTTACATTTAGGTACAATGTCAAGGAGGAAACACAGAAGCCGAAATAAAAACTTTCTCAATATATCTCAAATGCAGGACTTTGTTTTGTGTATAGTTAATCTCTGTCCTCAGAGAGTTACCACAGAAACTGTTAAACCTACCTTAATTTTGGTATCAGTCTATTGCAATCATACTTGACTGTTTAGTATATTAGTGGTCTCTAGTGGGGAGGTTGACTTTGTTGATGGAAAGCATGTACAAACAAAGCTCCTCCAAAGTCCAGCAATGACTACTTCAATTACAGTGCTGTTAATGATGACTTATAAAGATATGGATGGCCGAGAATCTCCTCGTACAGTCTCCCCCCGTACCAAATATTTTCTTAAGCACTACTTGTTTTCTGGCCTGCGCCCAGTCGGTAGGCCTGTAGTATGGACAGTCCATGTGATCATTCATTCTGGGCTGCACCCTTGCATACCTTTGCAGACTTGAGTTAATGACAAGATTTGCATCAAGTGTACCCCTGCGAACACGTAAAGCATGAATTGGCATTCAGGCTTATGTCCTTATATCAACAAATCCTCCAAAACAAAAAAGCATATATGCCATTTGCCCCTGCCCTTTGATTCTAGCATTAGGAAATAAAGCACAGATTAGGCACAAAAAGCATTTAGTCAGGATTGAGCAAAGATTTGGGTTGTTCTCAAATCGAGGATGTTTGTTAGCACTGTTACAGTTAAGATTGCAAATTGGTTATGAACAGTCTTTTGTCTTGTTGTTGACTCAACCATCCACCCCAATCAATGATAGCTCATGGACTATGTAGCCTCACTTCCTCCTCTAATTACTGTGGCCACTAGAGGGTGACATGGAAATTTAACAATAGGCCATCAAAAGTTTCCAGTACCAAAAGACCCATTGGGTGTTGTTTTAATCCATTCGGATCTGCCAGCTGAGATCTTAAGGGGCTAAAAACTCTCCAGTAAATGCTGCCTTTTTGTGACTTAAAGACACAGTGTTTAAGAGAGAACCACTGGTTTGCTTCTGATGGTCCCCATTAATGTAGTGGAGAATTTATCTGACATTGCAGATGTGGTTAACAAGCATACTGTACCTAGATAGGGCCACAGTCCTCAGGATACAGTTATAGCTGCAGTCCTGTGCTAGTGTTTTCATGCAGCTTTAGCCCTTTCCTTCCTTTTACCGCAATAATTCACCACATTTTGTCATTACTGCTCTTACCGGCTTCACTTTGTGTTTTTCTGTCCTTGAAAAAGATTTCCTTAAGCTCTAATGCTAAGTCAAGGGCTTCTTATCTTCTAGTATAGCTATAAATCAATTTTCACTCGACAAAATTAGTGCAGATGTCAAGATGTGTTGCGAAAGTGCAACATCTATATTTATCATGTGCTTTAGAGTTATATACAGTAGCATTATTGTGTTTCCTTTTTTTTCTTTGCTTAGGACAAGATTCAGTATTTCCCAGAATGTGGTTGTAGAAGACTATTGTTGAAAGAGTTGTTAATTTTACTATGATTTTAATGTGAGCTAGTAATAGTAAAAAAAATAGATCAAATAGCCCAGAGCTTTATTGACCACGTTATTTGTGCTTCTATTCTGAGGTTTAGATGCTGTAAAAGGTATTTCTTCATTATGCTTCCAATTAGCTTGTCATTTCACAGTTGTTCAGTTCACTCGTGTAACATCCTGTACTCGTACAGATTGCGCACCTCCTAATGTTACTTTCTGTGTAAAGATTGCTAAATGACGAAGGGTTTGTAAGCTTGTAGTCCACTTTGTTCCATGACTAATAGTGTAATTTAGGCCTGTTGATGTGCAGCAGAGAAAGGCCTTTGAAGTGGAGTAGAGCAAGACACTAAAGCTCACATGGCAGCCGTCTTCAACATCAAAGAGAACAAATAGTCACCATGGAGGTAAACGTCATCCCTCTGTCTCTTTCTTCCTTCATTTTTTTCTTTTTCTATGCTCTGTCATTTACAGTATGTTTTCTGTTTGTGCTGATGCAGTCTTGTTTTAATCCATTCATCTTTTCTCGTACATTTTTTGTGACATCTTTCCCTTCCTTCTCCCTCTTATCTGACCCCCTGTCTTGCTGTCACACTCACAGCTACTTATTGTTATATGTGTGCTTCTCATCTTTCCCTCCTGGAACCTAAACTTCTCCATTTTAGACAATGACGGTCATGATCACTACTATTCCTACTACTGTTACTGCTACTACTACTACTACCACCACTACTAATTGTTCTTCATTCTTCATCTTCTTTGTCTTCTTCATCTTTGTGCCTTCATCCTCTTCATCTTCTTCTTTTTTTTTTCCTCCTCCTTTTTTTCCTCTTGTGGTTTTTCATGTTCTTGTTCCTGTTGTTGCTGTACCTGTTGTTGTTGTTGTTCTTCTTCTTCTCCTTTATCTTCTTTGTCCTCATCTTCTTCATTGTCAGCTTCTTCCCCCTCTTCTTCTTCCCCCTCTTCTTCCTCCTCCTCTTCTTCTTCTTCCTTTTTTTCCTCTTGTGGTTTTTCTTGTTCTTCTTCTTTTTGTTCTTGTTGAATTTCATCCATTTTCAGACCTGGAACTTTTTGTTTTTTCATCCTTCAAAAACTCTTATCTTGGAAGCCATTTTGAGGGTTCAGTATCTCCATAGATGTAAATGTAACTCCCACAGTCATTAATTTTGGTGAGGTCACAGACAGTTTGTTTTTTGTTTTTTTTCCCAAGGCACATCCAAATGATTGAATGGCTCCAGCAGAGGCCAGAATTTCAATGACTGGCCCACAAAAAAGAAGGGTGGTGTTGGGTCAAGGATCCAGTGTTTTCCAATTTTGACTTGACTAAATGGTGATATGCACTCATTCGTTGGACCACAAAAGTGTTGTGTCGTGTGTAACATGGGCTATACAGGCGTAACTACAACCCAAAGCATATTTTTAGGCTTCAAGTCTATTTTTCTCTGTTTCGTGTGTGTAACTAGTCCTTGTGTATTGTAGCTGTGAGCACTTAACAATATACTTGAATGCTCCTGCTACACCATATGCTCTTTAAAAAACTTTCAACACTGTGTGCTTTTGGTATATATATTAGCTGGGTGCCAGACCACACTACCAGTCAATCAGTCTTATTATTTGGCTTTATTAGAAGTTGCAAATAATTCCTACTTGTACATTACTAGCAATCATGAAGTCATGTGGTATGTTGTCCTGTCTTAAGAGACCTAGACGTGTCGAGGTTTGTGCACCCACCCACAGGAGATGCAGTCAAAGTTCAAGTCAAAATTAGTGAAAATGCCAGCAAGAAATAGCTTGTTTTGTCATCTCTCTCCCTTGGCAGGACGTTGAGATACGGACCAATGCAGCTCTGTACCTGCCCCAGATCAGCGAGCTGTTGAACAGATTGCCCCGACAGATGCTGCTGCTGCTGAAGACCAACGACCTGCTGAGGGGCATTGAGACCACTTTACAGACCAGAGCTTCCTCCTCGTCCTTCATCAACATGTCCCGCTGCTGCATACGAGCCATGGCCAGGTAAGAAACATCGTGCTCTCCTCTCTTCTCCACCGTGGTTCTGTTTTTTGGTTGTTTGTTTTTTAAGCTTAGGTTGAAATATTTCACTTTTCATGTAATTATTATAGAATATATGAAAGTTTACTTTTTAGAATTAAATTACAAAAAATGGCTTTTTAACAATATTTTAATCTTCGGAGCTGCACCTTTACATATGTCATGTAGTTCAGCGGTCCCCAACTACCGGGTCGCAGACCAGTACCGGGCCGCACAGAAAGAAAAAAAAAGTTTTGTTTTATTTTTATCTTCAACGCAGTCTACAGGGTGTTTTATTTTGAAAAAGTACTACATCGTCTTCCCGTCACTGCCGTCTGGGCTTGTTTCCTGCACTTGACTGTCAGTTTTCATGCCCGGCCGTTAAACAAAGCCATCAGTCCAACCGCTGCCGAAATGTATAAAAAAAACCTCAAATGTCTCTGAAAGCTTCTTTAGAAAGTGGGAGAGACTCAATGCTGAGACAGAAGAAAAAGTAAACACATATTTAGCAAGTAATTTTATTCGTTTGTGAAACTTTTTAATCGAAAAAAATATTTTTTGTTATGTGTGCAAGGACTGGTCCGTAGAAAAATTTCTTGCGTAAAACAGGTCCGTTGTGCAAAAAAGGTTGGGGACCGCTGATATAGTTGATATATCAAGTAAAGCTACATAGAAAGTTGAGGAAAAGAAAGAACACACTGATAGACTTTATCTCACACAAAAAACAGCTGTAGCTGATGACAGAAAAATCCTCTGAGACGTGAAGAAGAACCCAAAACAACAGTCAGCGATATCAGCAGGTGTGAAAGTATCTCTGTCCACAGTTTGCAGAAGGCTTAAACAGAAGAATTATAAAGGTTGTATTGCTCAGTATAAACTACAGCAGCGAGGCAATAACTGGAATTTGATTTTCAGTTCCAGCTTTGGTTCCCAACTATGATGAAAACAAGATGATTGAGATAAAACAATATTTGCGCTGCCCATTCCATTTCACAACGATACTCTTGTTATGTCTTCAGTTGTAACTCCAGTGCTGCCCTTTCCTTTACATTACTGCACTTTCTCCTCTCTCTAAAAGACCAAACTCACTTCTCGCCAAGCTTTGGATGCATAGATTATGTTTCTAAAGTCAAAAAGCAATCGTGTTAAACAATTGTGCTTATGATTTTGCCGTAATCAAGCAGTCCTAAAGCCTTAACCTAGGCTTTTATCAATAACTAGAATCGAAAGGCTGGAATTAAATTTGGCCAAAAATACAAAGACAAAACATGGAGGTTTTGGAGCAAAGGTTTATGAACAGATTAGAAATAAACCTTTACCAAAGTGATGGAAAACCCTGTGTGTGGTGACAGACAGGAAGTAGTTATGTTCCAAACCAGTCCACCATGGAGGAGGTCATACGCTGGCCTGGACATGTCGAGCTGCTTCTGGAACTGGCTCACTCGTCTTTATTGTTGACAGACCAGATGATGGCAGCAGCTGGATAAATTTAGAACAGGACAGACACATTTAGTTTGGCTCCACACAAAGCTGTTCCTTCAATTTTATTGCCAGGCCAGTGAGGCTGGCCAGCTGCTTTGAAGGCCTGGAAAAAGGAACAGTTCCACAGAAGATACACCCGGTCATGCTCATTGCAGCCAAATATTAGACTTAATCACTTTTAGTTGCTTTGGCTCTGATAACTTTTGTACATCTGTCTCATTGTTGTGTTTTGATCTAAAGTTCACATGCTTAAGGAATCAGAACCATCAAGTTTCCCTCAATTGTTGACATTCTTTTAAGGTGCACAGTAGAAAAAATAGAAATGTAGATATTCAGTAATTTTTGGGAGGTAGTAGAACTTTAATGGCAGCTAAAGAAGTAAACAAGATTGACACACAGACAATCTTTGGGCCATTCTTCGCTTCATAACTCGGCAGTTTGAGACACTCTTTTATCTATGAATATTGACCTTCGGTTTCTGAAATGTAGGCGTACGTAGTGGAATGGTGAGGCAGAAAAAATGACAGAACAAAAATCAGACTAAGCTGACAAGTAGGTGGCTTTGCAAGAGAAACTGATATTTTTCCTTATAGGTTGGGTGAGAAGTGATGTGTACTGTCACTTCAGCTCTCAGCTGATGAGTGAAAGACACACACACACACTGGTGCTACTCTCCTCACAGTGGTAGAGCTTACCTGAATAAGCACATCTTATAAAATATTAACCAGCTGTAGTGCCACAGATAGTATACAGTAATACGCCAGGGGATCCTGCAGCAACACCTGACTCCAACAGCTCAACTCCAGCATCCTGTACGCACAGCTGCTCTGTTTCACTGTATCACAATCTTTTCTATGACTCACACCACATTCCCGTGCTGTGAGCAAGCAAATCTAGCCCCTCTCAGGTGTAAATCACCTTTTTTCTTGTGTTCCTGATATTTTTCAATGCCCTCTAAAAGAGACGGAAGTGATTACTGCCCACCATCCAGGTCCTTGTTGTGTGCAGTTAGAATGGTGAAAAGACGTATGTCGATTTGGTAAACAGAAGTTTTAGTAGGTAATAGTCTATATGGGATGGCACTGTCATGGACTCCTGACCTGTCCAAGATATTTGACTGATTATCAGCCTAGACAATGATGTATGATATTAATAATAATTAATAAGCAACAAGCCCAATTTCTTCTTTTTATTTCAGCTGCATTTCACAGTCTTCTTTATCAGCAATTACAGCTGTCACTGTTGTTGTTGGTCAGATATGGTTGAAAGGTACTAAGATGATCTTTGAGCTTTGATTACTTTGTTCCATATATTGCTCTCAAACTTGAAGGAATACATGATATCCTCAAGTACCAAACTTCATGTAAGGACCCCACCCTCCTTATCAAACAGGCAAGAAAAAATAAAAACATAGAGAACTTAAGTCTGCTGCCTCATTAATGGTCCCTCCAGGCTGCAATGGTCATTACATCAGACACAGCAAACGTGTTAAGAAAATTACAATTAGGCCATTCTTAAAGTCTGGTGTTGTGGCTTAACATTGTGCGTGATTCAATCCAAAAAAAATAGTTTTCTCCCTTAGAATGTTGTGAAAATTACTATGGATATTCCTTGTTCTACCACAGGGTTTATTTAAACTTGTCGTTTAGCTTCCTTTGTGGTTTAGGGTGCACCCATCAGCGCAGTTAGCTTCCTTTGTGTTTAAGCAGAACCAAAACCCCAAAACAGGCTTTCTGACACCCATGGAAAAGGGTTTGAGATGTTATCCAAACCTGGAAAAGCTTCTGTTCTGTATAAAATCCCCAAACCTACATGTAGTGTTTGAAACTATGCTGATAGTGTATTTTGTTCTATGTGTCACCAGTTTGAGATTTCACCCTTCACCTTTGGCTGCTCTCACTGACAGGCACAAGAGGAGTAAGGCTGAGTCTGGGAGCAGGCGTCTGCATATCACACTGGCAGAGTCTCTGAGCCTGTGGAAACTGTCTGTGTATGAACTGTTTCTGTGGCTGAAAGGCTCCATGGTGGGACACTGGCTCACTGCTCTGCTGACACTTCTGCACTGAGACACATCTGGATGTCACACCGGAACATTAGCAACAGGCTGGAACTACAAGATCTCAAGGGGTTTTTAATACACATGTTCACGTGCCCACACACCCACTCGCACACATGAATGACTTCCAATTATGTTAATGACAAAATTTGTAACTATGGAACATACAAGGACGCAACATGTTGAAGCCTGTGGTGGCTGCTGGGGACATTGCAGGCCTGTTCCAACACATTTACATATGTCCACTCAGCAGTGTTGAGATCTTTTTTTCATGAATGTGACATAATTTTACTTCATATATTGAATATAAATGCCAAATCAATTTAAATTGCATGAGCCAGAAATTGACTAAAAGCATTATCTTATGAAGAGTATTTACCAGGTATTAGAGATAAGACACCACACCTGTGCTCAAAGATCATATCTGACAGGCTGCACAGTAGTGAGTGGATGGAAAAACTGGATAAAAAAAGAAGTATTTCAGTATTTTAGGAAGTCTGGAACAACCATTAGAAAATACATGCATGTAAACCCACTGACACAAACAGGTGGAAAGAAAGAAAAGGTCATTATCAGTCATTCATCAGAATTTACCTTCATCACATGACTAAAGAGGGACATCCCAGAACACTATGTACCAACAAAGTGATGAGGACTGCTGAGAACCGGGTGCTATCCTGATATGAAGAGTAATTATCTGATTTATGCTCATGTCTTTATGAGTCTTTAGTCACTGCGAAGGCGATGTGTTGTTCAATCCTGAATGATTCTAGCTGAATGATGTGGGACTATTGATTCATTCCTGCTCCTCAACAAAATACCTCATGTAACTGTATTTTCTGGGAATGCAAAATGCTTAAAGAGTGTAGGTTTTTCCATTGTTTTATTATTGTACAGTGATGGGTCATGTTTATTCTTTCAGTGGTATTGCTGTAATAAGTCAAATACTGTACGGTCATTCCTCAAACACAGCAGTCAGATGTTAGACAGTCAGTGTGCGACTGTGGTGGGTCGAAGATGTAACGCAAATGATTGTGTGGGTTTGCTCACCCCAGCCTTGTTTGAGTCTTTTTCTTTCTTTCTTTCTTTTTCTTCTTCTTCAAAAAGTGACTTAAGTTCTACATTTCCCTCTCACCATCTTTATACAATTTTATATTTATGGATGCAGCAGAAGTGAGTACAGTATCAATAAAATGTCAAATGATACAAAACTGTGTCATCTCACAGTAACTACTTTACATCTAAGTTGGATAGTAGAGTATTTGTCAGATTAAAAAGTAATGGTTTTATCTGGTCAATTAAAATTACAGGCCCCACAGTAGAAACCTAATGCAATAAAAGTCAGTGCACCTTCCCTCACTGAGATTCAAACCTTCTGTTTTTTTTTTTGTTTGTTTGGTTGTTTTGTTTGTTTGTTTTTTAAATTATACTTTTCATGACCGCCTTTATTTTCGATGACAGACTCAATCCTCCTGGTCTGCCATTCCTATGACTATTTTTTAATTTTTTTATCACATTACTGTTTTCTGCTTTAGGGCCCATATTTTCAATATAGACTTTTTAAAGTATTTGTTTCAGATTGTTAATAAGTGGAAACACCCTTTTGTTCAGCTTAGAAGTAATGGAAGAGAGAGGTGATACAATTTAGAATCATTTGACATGTAGGTAACACTGCAGACGGCTTTACCCACTTCTATTGTATACTGCACCGTATGAGGCCTTGTTTTGTCTGTTCAGTGCAGAAAAGTGTCATATAGATGTGCAGCACTATGTCAGAACTATATTACAGTGTTACACCACTCCAATAACCCGTTGTTTGTGGATTGTCTCTCTGAAGTTTGTTTGCACTGATAGAGGCAGCTCTTGGAAACTTCAACGAAAAATGAAAACTTATTTATACCAGCAGTCAGAAGTTAGGCGTGATTTTGAAAGTTGATTTTAAAAAAACATAGCAGGACAAAGCAAAGTGGCATAACTGAATGCAGCACTTGTTTGTTTGTTTGTTTTTGCTTTGTGTGAACTTCCTGGAACCATATGGTGAAAATTGTTTTGTTAATTATGTTCCATAAATATGAGCCCACCAACCACATTATGTTGAGATTTGCCACACTGGTGCACTGTTGGGAGAAGTGTCAAAAGGATTTGCTGCTTGGTTTAAATTCAATCCTACAGCACTGTATTTATACCATTTTATTAGTGTTTGAATTGTATGAGATATATACACTTTATAGTGCTTTAAATATGTCCACAAAAAATACAACATGTACTGTCCCTGGGATGGTTCCTGCCAACAGTCCCACAATGCAATGCTTCACCTGTGATGTGCAGGTTACAGTCAGATAACAGAAACCTGTCAGTGATGATGCACAGATACAGCAGACTACAGAAGGGTAAACGGCCAAATCAGATGCAGCACCAGTGTCAGTTTTAGAGGTGACAAATCAGTGGCCTGTTCTTCATCACTCCATTTATCTGCTTTATTTCTTCATGTTTCATCATTTAATAAAAGATTGAATAAAGGAAGAAAAATGTAAAATTGAAGTGTACAGTGTTTTCCATTGCACCACTAGTTTACATATCTTTACTTCCTATTCCTAATGTGTTTAGAGTAACCTTAGTGTTCTGCAAAGACTGTGGATGTGGTTTGTATACTTTTAGTGTACAGGCTCACGTGTGTGTTGTGTTGAACAGTAGTACAGACTGGTTTTCCTCTCTCTTTACAATTAGCCAAGACCAATCTTATTTACTTTGATAATTATCTATACTAGCAAATGTTAACAAAGCGTGGTGACTGATTGCTGTGCATTAAAAGCCTTATATACTCTATGTCGTTTGCTTTTCCACAGAATCCTAATCTTGTCAACAAACATCTGTTAGCAGTAACGCTTAATATGTTTTGATTCACTTCTACATAAACTGCTGCCTGCATAGTAGGTTGACAGTAGATTGTACAGGTTGATATTTACCTGCCAGACATATTTGCCAATCACACTTATAGACTGTGTATAAAGATGGATGTAGCCTCTGAGTCTGAAAGGTGAAGTCAACCTGGAAGGTCCTAAAACCTGTATTCTTTCTAACAGCCACCAGGGGGCGACTACTCTGGAAACGTCTGATTGTACAGAAATCTATGAAAAAAATGACCCTATTTCTCACTTGACCTCAGTAACACATCTCTGGTTGGGGTAAGAGTGGGGATGAGGGGGGTGGTGGGTAGCAGGATACCAGATGGAGGGCAAGCTATACAAACAGAACAATGAACATTTTGGAGGTCAGTGAGGCCAGTGACTGCGGATCAGAGACACCTGCCTGCAGAGATGATAAAGAAGGGTATGTTTTAGGATGGTGCTACCTGGTGACTGACTGGCCACTGCTATGTATCATGCTCTGGAGTTCTCTATCAGATCCACTGCTCCCTTTTATTTCCAGTTTCAGAAGACCAACAGGGCAATGGTCAAACTCCAAAGTCAACGCTTCAAAGCAGTAATCCACAAACCAGTGACTTTGTGCCCAGAGTGGTGTAAAGGGGATTTCAAAAGGGAAATGCATCTGTTTACCAGTGCTGACCCTCATGCGCCAATACTTTCAAGCCAAATCAAATCAAGTTTATTGTCATTTTGCTGTACATACACAGTAGTACAGGCAAGATGAGAAAGCGTTTCTTCAGGATCATTTAATTAATACGTTTTGCAGACTTAACATCTGGGATAGGCAAAGCACTAAACGTCCACTCTTGCTGTCTCCTGAAGGGGGCGCTGCGTCCATGCATGTCGCCATCACGTTGACCATGGTGAACCTCTTCAGGTCCTGGTAGGTCTTCAGGGACACAAAGACACACATGATGGTGTGACGATGGTGAAGCAGCAGATGCTGCCCAGAGCTAGCTGTCTGTCTGTCCGCCTGGAATAATGTCGTCCCCTCCAGCTCTATGTCCGTCTGGGATGTTGTCATGGAGCCATGTTTCTGTTAAAACAAACACACAGCAGTCTTTCCACTCTCTGCTGGTTTCTCTCAGCAAACGTAACTTGTCCAGTTTGTTGTCGAGGGGGCAGACATTGGAGAGTAGGAGCGACCGTACTGCTGGTCTAGAGGGGTTAGCCTTTAGCCTAGCATGGATCCCGGCTCTCTTCCTCCTGTTTTGTTTGCACTTCCTTCTCTCTTGGGTAACTGCTGGCGTAGTCTCCGATCAGACTCCGTTGTTGGTATATTATGTCCAAATCACAACTGATCGCCGCAATTTTAGCAACGCTCATTGCCCTGATGTTCAGCAAAGTCTCTAAGTTCCTGGATGAACTCTTAAAAAACCTTGTAAACTGGTGTCTTTTACACTGTCTAGAGGCCTGACGAACTGGACAAGTGCACCTGCACAAGAAAGGATGTAAATACTTTTCCCACGTTTTGTACCTTACATAGCTGTTGAGATATTTCAGTCAGAACTGCAGAGCAGGACCAGCCAAATAATACTGCAATCCCAAGATTGAACAATGTGAGAGACAAGCCAACACAACACACGCCAACAGCTTGTCTCAACCCCTGAACATCCGAAACACAGACAAGATGGAATAAGTGGCTTTTAACTTGTATTCTTTCATTTTCATCTGAAATTCGGCCCCCGACTCTGAATATCATCCTCTCATTTCCAGCCTCACATGCCATAATCCCTGCAGCAGCCAATCTCAGAGACACACTCGCTCGTCAGTCTGCTGATAATTTGCCTCTCTGTGCAGTTCATCCAGCCAAAGTGCATAATTGCAAAAATGTCCAAAAGGAGGAAAGTATTTCTCCTCCACACGTTGGACATCCAAGCCAGTGTAATAGGTATTTTAACAGGATAGTGGATGTGCTTATTTGCAATGCCCCGTCAGGTGAATTGAAATTTGTTTCAGGTTTGTTGGTATATCCTCGACATGTCAGGGATACATTTTCTACAACTGTGCTGAGAGATTGTGACTGTGGATTTGCATTTGTTTGCACAAGCTACATTCACACACAAAATGTTCACTGATGATAGTATGTTCCACCAGTGATAAAATACTCATTTTCACTACCATTAGCTTTCTGTTTACCATACCAGTATGTTCTCATTATGGTGTGTGGGTGTGTGTGTGTGATAAAGAGTGGCATGACTGCAGTAGATGTATTGTATGCTGTTTGTGTGTGTGCATGTGTGTGTTTGCCACAGGAGGACCATCCATCTCGATCACACAGAGCCACCCAGGCCTGCCATGGCTAATAAGAGCAGTTCTCTCTTTCTGGCCCTCTTTCCTCCTCTCAGAGAAAGAGAGAGAGCAATCACTGGTGAGTCCTCCCTCTGTGGAAGGTGTGGAGGAGTATGAAAGGTCACACATTTACATGTTAAAATCAAAGTGTCTAGAAGCTGTCTTCAAGCTATCCCGTGTGTCCCCTCTCATATTGTGGTTGACAATATAATCTAATTGTAGTGTGGACAAAATGGGCAAACCTATTGAAACAAAAGGCTGATCTTAAAATGTAAATCTTTTCTGTTAAAGGTTGGGAAATGTGGTTGAAAGTGACATTGTTTTGTAATGGCAGTGGTTCCCAAACATTTGACCTGTTTGCTTCCCTTTATAGCAATTTAGTTGTCAAGACAGTTGTACACCGTGTAGCTTTGACTTTATTTTGTACGTCAGCTCTTTTGACCTGCTCAGGTTCAAGCATCTCACACTGGAATCTCTATATACGATGACAAGTCTTTCTATCACTGTGATTGTTGTTACTTCTGTCTGCTGTGCACCTGAAGAAGTCACAAGTTGGAAATTGTCTTGTCCCACTGTGGCAACTATGAGCTGTCAGCATCACTTTACTACAACTAACCAGCAAAACAGTCATAAAAAAAAAAGAAAGAAAAGAAAAGCCATGGGACTGAGAAACATGACCAACAATAGCAGAAAGCCGTACATATCTCAGTAAAGGTAACAATCCACACTGGACAACACACTGTGACCATGACTTTATGGAAAATCTTGTTCCAGATGTTGCTCAAAGAGAAAATAAATAAGATAAGAATAAATGCAGAGCCCAATAAAAAAAGTAAGAAGTCATAGTGACAATAATACTGACGTGGTAAAGTAATATTT